TCTCTCTCTCTCTCTCTCTCTCTCTCTCTCTCTCTCTCTCTCTCTCTCTCTCTCTCTGTGTATGTATATATATGGTGGACGATGAGCCACCATTGTTTCCATCCCCCCCTCCTACATGGCACCCTTCGTCCGTGTGGATGCACCTTCCTCTCATGCCGCCGTTCCTTGCTAGTCAGTGTTGCGGTGAACACGCAACCAACAGCACTCACGCTGCGTGTCTACATTGCCAAGACTGCCATCAGATCAGGCAGTTGGGTGGGAATGTTCTCTGCAGTTCCCATTACCCATCATTGTCTCCACCTCTCTCTCTCTCTCTCTCTCTCTCTCTCTCTCTCTCTCTCTCTCTCTCTCTCTCTCTGTGTGTGTGTGTGTGTGTGTGTGTGTATACATATCCAATAACTCTATCATATACCTCACCATACACTAAATCATGAACACCAAAGTTTACAAACCAAATAAGCAAAACTAAAAATAGTATAGTTTGTTATGCACCAACTCCCTAACTGTAGCGGTCCCCCCGAGGCCCGGCAGCTAGGCCGGACCAGTTTCAGGCCGTCGGCCTGATCCTGGTCCAGTACCGTTGGTTTTCCCAGTACTTGGACTTAGACCGGTATATCACTTCGGCCGAGGCCCAGGTCGGAGGCCTTTTCGCTCGGTTGGTTCGTTCATTCAGTCGGACCATGACGTTCAGCTGCTGCATTTCGTGTGTGTGTCCATCACCTCTCTCTCTCTCTCACCATCTCTGCACGTCCGCCACACTGGTATGGGAGCATGACAACCTCTCAACCTTCTCCCTCCCACCAACCCCAGTATCATGTGACTTCTGTATCACCTGAGAAACCATTTGGTCGTGCTACACAAAGACGGTTGTTGACGGTGCGAACACTCCCAAGACACCCTCTTGGCCTGCTGCTTATCTGCATCGGCACCAACCTCCATTATCAGTAAGTTCCAGGAGATAGGCAACCCGCAACGTCAGCATCTTCAGTGGCTACTTCTGCCTATTTTTGTCTACGTACACCATCGCACCTGGCGTGTAGACATCGGGTGCACAACACCGTGCAGGTGCATCATCGGGTGCGATGCACCCGGCCTTAGTAGCAGGCAGGTGCATCCCGTGGTCACCTCCCCACCTTGTCTCCTGGCATGCTCGCTACCCTCACCTCCCCACCTGATCTCCCCAGATGCGCTCGCTTCCCCGGGGCACTTTCCCCCGCTCAACTTTCCAGTGCACACTCTCCCTCACCTACGCCCTCCCTCCCCATCCCATTCGTTCGTGCACTTGACGAGTTTCCACGGTCAAATGCATCTGACGTGGGGAATGTGCCTGGCTTGCTTGTTCGCCCAGGTGATTTTCCTCCCGCTTTGCCCCATCACCCCACTTCCGCTGTTTTGCTCCCCAATAGTCTACTCCTCCCCGGCATTCGTTTCCCTCCCACCACGTCTCTCCCCTTGTGAGCGCTCCCCGTTCCCACCTCCTTCCACGACCTTGACCTCCGCCCTATAGAGATCCCAATTCTGCCCCCTCTCCCGCCCATTGCCCACTTTCCCGCTGTGCTACCCCGAACCAGATCCCAACCTCCCCCATCTCCAACCCGATCAACTCTCTCGCCACCACGAGTCTTCTCCCCCACTCTCTGCTATCCCGACCCCCCCATTATCCCCACTGCTCCATACCCGTAATCAGGCGCACGTGCCTGCGATCCCACCTGCTACCGTCATCGTTATTGCGCACGTGTGCTTGCACTCGGAACCCCGCTCCTATCCATCTCAACCGCTCCTCCCCAATAGTATACTCCTCCCCGACACGTCAACTCCTTTGCACTCGACAGCCCCCCCTTCGACCTTCCTCCCAGTCCCGATCCCAGTCGCATCCCCCCCCCGCTTCCCCCTTCAATCCCCTACTTCCTGCTTATCCACGCCCCCCTCGTTCTGGTTCTCCCACGCTATTTCTCGATCCCTTGGTAGCTCTCACTTGACCCTCCCCCCTTCAACCTTCCTCCCAGTCTCGATCCCACTCGTGTCCCCCCCCGCTTCGCCCTTCAATCCCCTACTTCCTTCATATCCACGCCCCCCGTGCTCTGGTTCTCCCATGCTACCTCTCGATCCCACGGTAGCTCTTGATCCCTCTCACACCCCTTCTCCACCGTTATCGAGCGCACATGCGCGCCGAGATTGCAACTCCCGGCACCCCGACTTCACCCCGCTTCCGCCCGCACCCAGATGCCATTCCCGCTCCCCGATTCTCCCACTCTGGCTTTCACCGGCTCCGTCGCCCCTTCCCTCCCTGCTTGCTTCCACAATCACGCATTTCCTCACCTCCCACTTCCCACTCTAACCCATGCGCACATCCCCCGGACCCCTATTTTCCCCTCCTGTGCGCACCTGCCCATTTGCATTGTCAGCCACCCAATCCTGCACTCGCACTCTGACGCCACTGCCTTGTGCCCCTGCGCAATCCCTTCCCAGGCCCTTCCCGGATCCGCCCTTCCCTGCCGCTTATTCTCACCGATGCCTTCCCCCATAATCCCGTTGTGCCCAAAATGCATCTGTTTCCCACTCTTTCCCTCCGCCGACACCTCCTGGGCCATCCCATTCAAACTCTCCGACGCCTCATGATTGCCCACTTCCGGCCTGATTCCCCCCACCTTGACCGCTCCAAGTGGAAGCCATTGTCCATTGGACATCGCATCAGCGCCGCACATCTGTTGCGGAACACGTGCCGACCTTGGGTTCAAGCGTATGACTACAAACGTTGGGAGCAGGGCGTATCGATCCTTTCGCATTTCATAAGCTTACGGTGTCAGAAAAGTTACCACAGGGATATCGGGCTTGTGATGCCAAGTGTTCATAGGGAGATTGCTTTTTTATCTGGCGACATCCGTCCTTTCTCTCATTGTCGAGCATAATTCACCAAGTATTGGGTTGTTCCACCGCCAGCAAGTCGAGCACTTCGCCACGAGGTCATCAGTGTTTGATCCTTGATGTTGGCAATCTGTCCAAGTGGCGTGCTTCAATGGATTAACGAGATTCCACTGGCCCTACCTAGCTGGCCATGACAAGGACACAATGTTCACATCTCGCCGCCGTCATCATCAAGTGAGCATCATCATCATCATCATCATTATCATCATCATCATCATCATCATCATCATCACCGCCATCTTCATCGTTGGCGGGCCTCATTATTCGGAATTATCATACTCACGTTCTACTGATCAGGCGACCTCGTTGTTCCAAGCGGAGAACGATCGAGAAGACCCTTTAGGGGTTGAATGAAGACCTTCCTCAACAAAGAGGAAGGACTTTAAATGCTCCCCGCCGACCAGGAGCGTGGTATTGTCCTTAAAGGTCTCATCTTTTTCTTCTTCTTCTATTCCCCATCCATCCCTCCTTCCCTCGTTTACCATCCCACCTAATTGGTCGCATCATGTAAAAATTCCTAATGTGCGTGACGCGTATTTTCTCTCCTTGTGCTCATATGACAATGTGGGCTATCCTATCATGCGGAATTCATACCTAATTTGGTATGATTATTCCTCATCCTGTTTTCTAACAACGCTTGGAACGGAATTAATTCCAGGATTTTATTCAAAAGCTAGGCGAATTTCTTAATAATATCAATTTTCTTTTGTTATTAATTTCCCAAATTTAATTCCTTTTCAGAAATTCATCAAATAATTCTTGGAATTCACCAAATTTAATTCTTATGAAGTCTAATCAATTTCTATTATCTACTCCCCGTAAAATTTCAAAGCTCTGCAGTTTTTTTTTAATTCCTTTGAATTTCTTTTGAATTTTTTTTGAAATTCATCTCAATTATGCAACACATTTTATTGATTTTACCTAAATAATTTTAAAATTTCTCTCAACTTACTTTATTTGGTTATCATTAATTCTAATTTCTCTCAACTTACTTTATTTGGTTATCATTAATTCTATATGACATTTTTTCGTGAATTTAAGTTAGGAATTAGTCTTCTATTTTAATTTCAAATTGCCTTCGACTTTCTTTCAATTTTGAAAATACCTTAAGAAATTTTTCATTTCATCTCAAATTTGTTTTCTGAATTTATCCTTATCTTTTTTATCACCTCCCCGAGTTCCCGAAACTTCCCCTTGAAATTTTGAAATTTTTTGGAACTCTTTGATTTTTTAAAATTTGTTATAAATTTTGAATTTACGCCCCAATAATTTTGGGACTTTATTTTGACTCTGTAACTGTCATGCTTTCCTTTATACCCAATGCCCTTCTTCGTAAATTTCCTCTCATCTCCTCGCCCAAATTTAAAATTTTATCCCTTTTTTCTCAAACTGACTCTAAATTTTTGTGATTTAAATTTGAAATTTCATTACACATCATTTTACTTCCCTTCCTCTAGCAAGCCCCCCCTTCCACGTGTTACCCTGGTGTCCTGTGCCCCCGACAGCGTGCACTCCAAAACCGTGCATGTGACGCTCTTGCCGCCACTGGACGAGCTCACTTTGAAGCACTGATTATGGCGATTGATTACCCCTCTCACCATGGTGCGCCCTGCACATCATCTTCTTCACCCTTCGACTTCTGCAGAATGCAAAGTTTGTGAGCCCTTCTTGCTCCACTGGTGACGGCCTTGCACTTCTTGCTCGCAAGATGGCACCCGATTCGATCGAGACCACTGCCGCTGTAGACTCCAGTCCTGCAGCCACTGCCACAACGGATGCGATTGCCACACTTCTACAAGGTCAGCAAGACAGATTCGACGCTCGGTTTGCTATTTTGTCTGACCGCATGGCACATCTGGAGTCTCCTTTCAGTCCTCTCCCCTCATCTCCTCCCCCTCCTTCCCCTTCCAAAACACATGCTCCTACCGGATCACATTCTTCCCCTCCCCAAGTTTGGGATCTCACGTCCCACCACCCCAGCCCCGTTATCAACATGTATACCATTTTCCTCTTCTACCTCGTCTGGCTTCACTTACACACTTACGTCTGCCACAGGTGGCATATCCCCTCCTCAAACCCACCCTTCCCTCAAGTTCCTCTATATCTACATCTTTCTCTCAGGTTCCTACACACGCAGTTCCCTCAACAGGAGCCATGGCAACTTGTCCCGCCACCTCCTCGACACTCGTTTCTACGACACCCTTAGCATCCTCTCTTGTTCCCCCCCCTCCCCCCCCACTCCCTCCTACACCCAAGACACAGATTGCAAATCTTCAGCAACAGCTCGCGGTGGCTCAGGATCACATTCGCTGGCTCCAGGGAAGCCAGCCTCCTCACCCACACATGGCAACCTAGCCTATCACTCCTTTTATTTATTGACAGCATCAGACACAGGCGGTTGCGATGCACTTTGCTCTCCCCCCACCAGCCGCCACGATGTGTCAGGGGTCTTTGCCCTTGCATTCTGCTTTTTAGCTCTCCCATTGGTATCACTACTTCCTTTGTCCTTTTATCCCAGTCTGCCCTCCCTCTTCCCCCAGTTCGGACTCGATCGACTCCCACAGTTTCACAGCAAGGTTTAATAGCTCCAAGGATAGATCACTACCGTCGAGGAGCAGCTTCGCTGCTAAGGTGTTTCCATGAAACCATGGTGCGTCGAGATGTCCGCTCGCTTTATAGGTCATGCGGCGTCCACTTGGCATGACTTCCTCACCCTTCGCTCACAACGCGGTGTACATGAGGGCATGTCTTATCTTGGGTTTCACGACTTCCTTCAGCAATACTTTTTCCGCCCTGTGCCAGCCCGCGACCGATTACCCATGTGGCTGATATCAGATGGCTTGATGGGGACAATACCTAGTATCTTACATTTCGGCATTCCACCGCCTACGTGCTCAGATCCCGGTCTCCGCCATACCAGAGGACACCATAAGCCAGCGATTCCTTGTCGGCCTACATCAGTCATTTCAGTGGCAGATGATGGCGTATTCAATCCACATCTTGCCTGAGGCCTTCAACATCGCTCGAGCCATCCAGCTCACTTACACTCCACTCTCGGCCCCTTGCCTCAGCCCGCCACTGCCCATTCCACTACTCTGCAGCCCCTCACCCCTCCCAGCCTCGACAATCTTCCACATACCGTTGGGCCTCTCACAGAGGTTCGGGATGATCCCTCTTTCGTCTCCTTCACACCCTACTTCGTGATTCGTTGAGCATTGAGGACGACACTTCCTCAGACGGTTCCGCGAGTGATCCCGATCAAGGACACGACTTTCCGTCCCCCGCAGATGAAGACGTCCCATCCTAGGACGACCACCTTGTCTGGGCTCTCTCTGCCCTCCTTTGTTGCTAGTCTTCGTCCTTGAGAACTCGCTCCTCAGTCCCTCAGCAACCTCTCACAGCGGATTTTGTGATTTCTCGCAGCCACTTGACTATCGTTGAGAGTGAGGACCTTCGTGCACGAGGCATTTGTACCAGTTGCCTCCTCGATGGCCATACCTCCTCCACCTGCCCGTACGTTGACGCCCTCCAGTGTCACTTCACACAGCAGCCTCTTGCTCAAGTTGTTCCCCTCGTCTCAACCTCCAGCACAACACTCACATAGTCGTGATGTCTCGTTCCCTTGACTCTCCTTCGGTAGAAGGCATACCCGTTTGCGACTCTACCTTCGCGTCGCTTGCTACTCTTTTCGATGACTCTGCTCCGACCTTATCTTTGGTTGACCCTATCGACACTGATATACCTTCTCCTTCCTCACCTAGCATCTCTCGTGATCCCCCTCCTCTACGTCCTCCTACCAAGTGTGTTATTTTGCACGACCCGCTGCAATGCTTCTCTTATTGTAGTCGAGGATATCATTGAGTTTTTGGACCTCAAGTGTGTTAAGGGACGACTTTAACGAGCGCACCCTGTTCGCGATGTCTCAGCGCCTATACAATCCCAATCGCACCTTACCGATTATTCCAGTGTGCCTCGGGACCTCTACTGGAGTGTATTGCGCGCTATGGGACTCTCACTGTACCGGCGACTTTATCCATCCTCGCGTAGTTAAGGAGGCATCCCTCTATACATCCCCCTACCCTTCCACTGTTACTGTCACACTTGGTGATGATCAGGCTAAGTCCTTCGTCGACTTGGTGGTGTTTGATCTTTCATTCCCCTTCTCCTTGCGGATGCCCTTCAACCTTCCCAAGGCCCTTCGGTTCCATGGCCAGTGGACCTTCTACGTCATGAAAACCTTATACGATCTTGTTCTTGGCACTGCATACTCCCACCAGTTCGCCGACTTTGGTCTTCATTGGGCCTATAACAATCTTGTCCTTGACGCGAAGGATGGGAAACATTATTGCATTCCATTGTTGGGCAAATCATACTACTCATCCACCCCTTGTTAGCGTCACCATTTGTACACCTACCCAGTTTCACCACTTCCTTTCTCACTTTGTTACTTCTCTTACCACTGATACACCCTCAGTCCCTATCTCCACACAGACTCCCTCCACCAGACGTCGCCACTGCCAAGGAATTCGACATCCTTCTTTCTTCCTCGCAACCTAGTGTTGGTGCCCTCCTTTACGAGTATCGCGACGTTTTCCCCACATCGTCTTCTACAACAGTATTCCTCCTATGCACGATTTCGAGCACCGCATCCAGCTCAAGTCCAACTATCGCATTTAGAATCGCGCCCCATATCGCCTCTCGGTGCCTGAAGTTTAAAAACTCAAGCGCTAACTTGAGGAGTTGCTTCCTCAAGGCTTCATTAAACCGAGGACTTTCCCATGGAGTGTCCCTATCCTCTTCGATCGCAAGAAGGACGGTACCCTTTGTCTTTGTATTGACTACCGCGGTCTCAACCACTACACGGTCAAAAAAAATTATCCCAATGATCTG